AGGGTAGTTTTATTAATAAAAAAGTATATGTGGATTTTAGTAGATATTATAGATTTAAATAGAGACCCCAAATTTCATCATCAGCTGCGACAATTATTAATATTGCTGCTACAGCATAATTTGTAAATGTTGACTAATATATATCCTTGACTTTTTAAATATCACTTTGTAATTTTATTATAATAGTTAATTAAATGCCAACTATTTTAATAAATTAAACTAAGCTATCTTTTTTTTTAATAAGCTCCAAGAGTTTAATTAAGCAATGTTGACTATAATTATCAAACAAAATAAATATATTATATTATAATATTAATCTCTATTATAAAAAGTAAATTAAATTAGTTAAATCATTAGAATAGAATAAATAAGGATATACTTTTTAATAATTTTAGTAAATTTATACAATTGTTTAAAGATTTTTAATAAATATTATATGTCAGGTAAAGCCCACGCTGAATTCTAGTAGAAAACCGCTTTGATCATAGGTTAGAGTGAAGTCTGCGTTAACATATTGTTTTTTTTTATGTTACACATTTCACTCTCACGTGAGCTGCATAGCGGATTTAACCAAAGTTCAGCGCGGGTTTCACCTCTCGGAATATTACTTAGTAAATATCAACTAATTTAATATATAAATCTAAATTTAAAAATAGTTAGGAAAATTTTAAGCCAATTTTAATAAATGTCGCGGATCATAATGAAATTAGATTAAAATGAAATGAGGGTTCTATTTAACCCTCTAAAACCCTCTAAAACCCACTTAAACTTGTTTATTATAAACTCTACCCTAAAACTAACCTCTTACTCTAACCTTAAAAAATGCACCTCAAAAATTTTTATTTTTTGGTGGCTTGTCTATTTTTTACATTGTACAATATTTCATTTTTAATCCGTCACATTTCGTTTTCTGATTTCGAAAATTTCAAGACAGAAATGTGATGTTTTAACACCCACTTATTTTCGGAATAAGTTAATTCTGAATCGCCCTATTGTTTTTTTAATCTTTTTTTCATAAGATATACATAATATGAATTAATAAAAAATTTGAGAACTGCGCTAGAACTATTACGTAATGTACTAATACAATACAACGCACCCATTTCTAACACCCTTTAAGCAATTTAAGAGCCTAGTTAACAGAATAAAGATTATTATAATATTGTATTTATATAGTTGTTACATGATATAAATATTCATGTATTTAATTCTACGAATGGCGTGTAATTAAATAAATAACAAATTGAAAAATGATGCGTGTATAACAGTTACATTAAATAGATTTCCATCAAGCAACTACCTATCCGTCTGAGAACTTTCAGAGTGTTTGACAAAAGGCAAAATCCACGCTTCGCATTTATCAATAATTTCTTGTATCTTATCTTCATAGTACACTATAAAAAAACGTATAATTTAATTAATTTTGTAAATGAAAAGGTCAATCACTTATTGAATGTACAGTACGTACAGCAATGCGAACAATCGTCAAATCCATGCGCTACAAAACATATAAAGCAATTAATTACATAAATAAAAATTAAAAGATAACAACTTATTAAACGTGCCTTCTAAATGCCTATTCTTCGGGAAATTTGTTTCTAAATTTTCTAAATTGTTATAAAATGTTTTAATAGCATCAATGTCTAAAATTTTGTCTTGATTTCCGTACATTATCAGTATATTAGGAGGGTTTTTAAACTTTTTTTTTAGAAGAATTTTTCCATAATTTAGAATATCCATAACTACGAAAAGAAATAAATTCATTTACTATTATTATCCTTTTAAACGTCTCTTTATCAAAATTTACCTTCAATAAGTGTCGAATACCTATTTATATAAGTATGTTCATCATATACTTGAGAAAAAGAGCCGTTCGCTGTAAGATGCTCAGAATCAATTTCAAGCATAATAGTAAAATTAGGTATCATCCTATTGACTAATTTTCCTGCACGAATAAGTATTTCTGGTACATCTATTCCTTGGTTATGTAGTTTAAGTGCAGGTGAAAGTGCAATATATCCATCAAAAAGTCCCCTTTTCCCTTCTGCAGTGTTCTTGTCCTCTTTTTCAGCGTAGACGAGAGCAAATAAACCTCTCTGAAAAAAATTAGCAGCATTATTATCATATTCAAGAAATAAAAGTATAAAATTTAATAGAAAAAAAAACAAGGCTATTCAACACACCACACCGTGTCCCATCAAAAAATGAGAAGCACCTTTTTTTCTCTCTTGCTTCTTCACAAATTCTTTTATTTCTTTACTTGCAACTTCCCAACCTTTTCCAACACTCGGATTCCCATTTTTTTTCCATGTCCGACCTTGCCCGCACCGGTCAAATGCATTAACTTCAATATTCTTATCTTTAAATTTTGAAAATACATGATCATAAAAACCAATGTGATCAAGGGAGCTATGGAGGAAAGTTATGTACGCTTTAGGATCTTTTGCTTTCCAAGTTTAGTATAAACCCAATGTTATTTATTTTCATCCACACTTGTTCTTCTTTTAAAGAAAATGTACAATCAATGCCGAATGAAATTAAAAAGAAAGAAATATACTTTAATATTTGCAGACATCAAGATCTTACTAAATAAATTTATTATGGATCACTTACCAAAGGATACGACAATGTGGATATTTTCTTCCTTAAGCGGGAATTCAAAAATATTGTTAATAGTTTTTGTAATGTTTGATAATTCTTCATATTGATCGATTTTAATCGGATTAATTTTTTCATTATCTTCATTATTCACAGGAATATCAACTTTCCATAAAATAAGTTCTTTGTTTTCAGGAAGAATAATTTTTTCGATAATGGCTTTACTGAGTGTATAAACATTTGCGTACTTATTAATTTTAACAGGAAAGGCTGATGTGGGAGATTTTCCTTTAATAATACAACAAAGTGTAATTTCTTATTTATGAAAATATATAATTAATATGACATAGAAAAAATATAAATCTTAATATCCGAATTTTAATAAATTAATAATTATGATTTACTTACCAATGGATGCAACAATGTGTATATTGTTTTCTTTATGCGGGGATTCGAAAATCTCTTCTATAATTCCTCTATCTGAAAATTTTTCAAATTTACGATTGAACACTTTCTCAACTAATGATGAGGTTTTAATCTTCTTAATTCTTTTATCATCCTCTGGAATATCAACTTTCCATAAAGTAAGATTTTTATCTTGATTAATGTATTTTTTAAGCTCACCAACAGTGATGTCAGAGTTTACACGAATAACATAGACTCGAGGCTTTTTCTGAGGAGTTACAAAACATTGATCAATATAACGTATAATAATTTTATTAGGCATATGTAGTAAGTATTTTTTTATTGAAAATTTTTGTAGCAAAAACACGTCGAAAATTATAATTATTGACTGATTCGTGTTTTAAAATGATATATAAACAAAAAGATGTAAGTAATTTCTACAGTCTATTATTGTAAAATTGTGAATTGAGTTCAACAATTCTATTTGTACGTACAGTGCAGGAAATCTAAAAACCTAATCACTTTATATAGATAAAAAATTCAAATAAATCATTGAAATTCAGCTATGAATAAAATAGGTACAATTAGTTCTTTTTATTCAAGAATTCCAGTTCCTTCACTTTATTGAGGTCGACAATCTAAGAAATTTAGTTCATGCATTATCTCTAATATAGGGATTGATGTTTTAAAATTTTCTGCACAATACGTAAATACGCAGAATTCGTAGAAATTGCCAAATTTATTATTGTAGTTCACAAAAAGGTGTGATTTTTGTGATGATCGAAATTTTGTAATGATAAGTCATATTTTCTAAAATATATACATCATGGTACAAATCTTATAGTAAAATGCCGGAGATTTCCGTTTACATATGACAATTTCCGGCCCAATTTTTCAAAGAGAAGGGATTTTCTGTTTTTTATAATAATTTACTCCGGCTGTTGGTTATAAGCTCGTATCTAAATTCTGATTTAAAAAAGAAATTGACGGGAAAATGCAATCCTTGAATGTGTGCCAGGTTGGTGGCGCGCCAATTAAAAAATTCCAATGATTCTAATATTATTGTTTTGAATTCAAAAAAATACTCGTATTCTTTACTTTTATAATGTTTATAATTTCAAATTTTTTACAGATCAGAACGTCAAAGCTTTTAATACTATACGCGTATAAGAAAATATTGGCTTTAAAAGTGTGAAAATAAATCTCAAAAAAACACGTACTACATAATTTATAAAAAATAATTTTTTAAATGAAAAATAAGCCTTTTCTCATAATCTACGCTGAACCGTATCTTAAAGACATTTCACTTTAAAATTAAATTTTATAAGTTTTGTTAACCTTACATACTTCCGAAATTATTGTAATAAACTCTACTTACATATTTAGTACGGTCAACTCCCTTTATAATGGTACTGTACCTTTTTATAATGAACGAACTAAAAATTTTAAAAATTATGTTATTTCTGTTATGTCTTCAATTTACAAAATAAATGTAGAAAATATCCAAAGTACAGAACGGTGTTGAAACACATGGTAGAAGTTTTCGCTGAAAAAGAAATTTTATGAATGTACTGTATAAATTGAAATAATAGAGATGGATAATGCGCCATCAACTTGGCACACATTCAAGAATTGCAGAAAAAAGCGCATATTACATCACCCGGAAATTTTGTGCCCTGATCTACATATTTTGTAAGATTCTCTTAAAATCCAAACCGCAATAATATTCATCAATTTTATAATTGTACGTAGAATTATATATATATAAATAATCGTAGCGGTGACGATATGTTTGGTCGAGTTATGCTCTTATCGTTATATGAAGAAATCTAATCACCCCTTATAGAGACAAATATAAATTTCTTAAATTATATGTACGTACATACGTACACACTTTATTGAAGTTAAGATTTGCGCAGTACGAACGCGTGTGAGAACAAAATGCTGAATTACTAGTATATAACGCATTTTTCAATTAAAAGTACCGTAGTGATCAGGTACTTACACATATGTAAATATACAAAAGAAACAGGTAATATGTATGAAGATACTAATCAAACAATATATATAATTTATCGAGTGAGCGTATATTTGCTATCTGCAATGCGATTCCACACATAATTTGTGTAATAATAAGTTATTCCAAAGATAAGAGAGTTAACGTAAGCAACACCGATAAACATGATGAAATAGGCATTAAAGATGCTGCTTTTCTTTTCGGCGAAATATTCATCGGTTTTGTACCAATATTTGTGATACCAATTTTTTGGTTATTTCATATTCCATATATTGATAATATTGATAATACAACTATTAAAAAAGGATTTATTATTGTCTTCTCTTTAATCGTCTTTTTTCACTTTATAGGGATAATGTCTCTTTGCTTAATTCCAAATTATATACCCAACAAATTAGCTTCAATTATTACATTACTTTCACTTTGCACTCCGGGCGTTACTCAAACTATTTTGATTATGGTAATACAACCTGTGAATTCTTACTTTCGCAAGGGCTTACTCTTTATATTAGTTAACTTTCTTTCTAGAATATTGACTTATTTCGTTGGGGAGTTCCCTAAAAATTTACGTGCAACTCCTACAACATATATATTATATGTCATATACCAGTTTAGATCAAATGTTTACCCAATCGAAACCTACATTAGTGGATATAGAGAGTCGAATCACAAAATTAGAAAAGGTAGTTCACGTCAACTTAAATTTATTAGTCGTGTTAAATAATAATTCATTTAAAAACTATTAGTTAAACAATTATGTTAAATCCCTAGTTTTAATATTAATTCAAAAGCAAAATTTTTACAAAATTTTTTTTTTTGGCCGATCACTATCTTTTGCTGTAGAGCCCCCATGCAATGATAGCTCTTCATGATTGTAAACACATTTTTTTATGTATTAAAGATTTTGAGAGTTCAGGTTTCAAGGTTTTCCTTTTTTAAAATCCGAAAAACTAGGTAGTACCTTTTTAAAACTACATTGACAATTTCTCTATTAATATTATATATTTTGAAAAAAAAAGCTAAAATAAAATAGAAGCATATGCAAAATTGTCAAAAATTTGATCTGATAAATTGCCCAGCTTTAGCAATCGCAATCATAATCATTTTATAAAACCATTAATAATCATAGGGATCTCCAATTGTACAAAGCGCAATAATCCTATAATATTTCCCTAAATTTTATTAAAATGTTAAATCTAATCAAAATATTTAGTCAGTTAAATAATTGTTTAGTTTCATACTTCACGCTTCATAATCAATTTAAAATGCTTACTTAAATAATATTTCCTTAAAAATTGGCCGCATTAGCCATGATACTACTGGTTTTGCTATGAAATAGAAAGTCGCATCTGAAATATATTTTTTATTATTTTTATTAGTTCAACATAAATCCCTTCTTTACATTTAAATAAATTTGCTTTTTTGATATTTTTATTAATTATTTGTTGTATTACATTTAATAGAATGATGGGCTATGTGTTATATTTGTTATACTTATTGTAGTATTTCTATACATTGATTATTTGATTTTATTTTAAAATTAATCTTATTATTTTGAAGATTAAGAAATGTCAGTGTGGTGTTCTTGTAAAGTGAATCTTCTAAAGCTTTTCCTCCTTCAGACCCGAGATTGTTCCAAGAAAGATTTAAGGAATCTAACGTGGTGTTCTTGCAAAGTGCATCCGCTAATGCTTTTCCTCCTTCTGAACCAAGATTATTCCAACTAAGATTCAAAAAAGTTAATGTGGTGTTCTTGCAAAGTGCACCTGCTAATGCTTTTCCTCCTTCTGATCCAAGGTTATTCTCGCCAAGATCAAGAGAAGTCAATACACTATTCTTGCAAAGCGCATCTGCTAATGCTTTTCCTCCTTCAAATCTAAGGTTATTCTCACCAAGATCCAGAGAAGTCAACGTACTATTCTTGCAAAGCGCATCTGCTAATGCTTTTCCTCCTTCTGATCCAATTTCATTATTTTGAAGGTTCAAATCCTTTAGCGAAGTGTTCTTACAAAGTGCATCGGCTAATGCTTTTCCTCCTTCTGATCCAATTTCATTATCTCTAAGATCCAGAGAAATCAATGTGGTGTTCTTGCAAAGTGCTTCTGCAAATACTTTTCCTCCTTCAAGTAGATCAGTACTACCAAGATTCAAAGAAGTCAACGTACTGTTCTTGCAAAGTGCATCTGCTAACGCTTTTCCTACTTCTGATCTAAAACTATTATATTCGAGATTTAAATATTTCAAGGTATTATTCTTACAAAGTGCATCTGCGATTGCTATTCCTCCTTCTGATCCAATATAACTGATAAATGACCAAGTTCCATCACATCCACTTAAATTTAAAGAAGTCAAAGTAGTGTTTTTGCAAAGAAATTTTGCTATCATCTTTCCTTCTTCGGCAAAAATTGGAAGAAGACTTAAAGAATTTAGAATAGTATTTTTATCAAGAGCATCCAATAGTTTTTTCACTTCTTTAGTCCCAAGTCTTAATTCAAGATTCAAAGAAGTTAAAGTAGAATTCATATTAAGGATCTTTACTAATCCATCTATTGTCTTGGATTTAGAATCATCGTTGGTATTATACGGGAGATATAAATCTATAGAGGTAATAGTAATGTTCTTATAAAGATTTTCAATTATTAATTGATTGAAAATAATGTCTTTAAGATATAAATGGTTAAGGTTTTTACTAGTCCTTAAAAGCATTGTAATTAAAGAATATTTAATGACATTTTCAAGCTCATGCCTTGTTTCATGCAATTTATAAGGAACCCACAAACTAATTCCGTCATAAAAATAATAATTAATAGATGTGATATAGCTTGTGTATTCAAATAATGGTTTTTGGTAACTTGGAAGGTTAATATTAAAAGGAATTAATAAAGTTTGCTCTTCAACATTTAACATTAAAAGAAATGTTCTTATAATTCCTATAAAACGCTGCCCTGGATTGCTCCATAATATTGGGATAACAATTCTACACCATTGACGGTTTACAAGTGCACATGAAAATAAGTTTTTATGATCACGACGGAGGTTATTAAATATTTCATAGTAGCATTCATTTGGTAATTCTATCATATTGAAAATTTTTTAGTGTAAGTACGTACTGTACGTACGTACGTACCTACGTACTTATACTGTTCTTACATAAGAATTATGAAACGTTGCCAAATTCTAAATTTGGAATAGATTGTTTGATGTATTGTACTACAGTAATATAATACAGTACGTAATTGCGGCGCAGGACTATACGATCACATTAACCCTAGGTGGCAGATCTTCGATTTTGATTGGCTAACGGC